CGCCCCACCACGCCCGCCCGCCCCGCCACGCCCCGCCGCGCCCCGCCCTGGGCCGCAGCAGGCTGCCAACTCCGACTCGGCAAGTTGTTATTAACACTTTGGGCGTCGTGTCGTACGTGTAGGTGTGCGCGTCTGTGTGTGTGTGAGTGTGTATGTGGAAGAGAGAGTGAGGAAGGGAGTGAGAGTTGAAGAGAGACGTCCCGATAAGCCACGACCTCTACACGCTGCATGTGCAAAAGACATTCAAACATGTGTACCGCGCGGTGTAAACGCAAGTGAGACCTAGTGTAGCGCAGATGAGGTTTTTAACTCTTTCTTCAATAAAATTGACCGATTCGGGCCTCCCGTGGCCGTTGAGCTCGTTGGACACAGAGCCGGCGTGACGAGTCCGCACACCGCCGCGACACATGGGTGCGGTGCGCCCGAAGTTATGGCGAACTGGGCCGAGGTATTTTGTCGGAATTCTCCAATACTCGCGGTAGTTGGCTGCTGCTCCGGTCGCGGCAGCAGCTAGGGCTTTGCGTACATTCTATACCCATCCTTGCACCCCTCCTATTTCTCGCTCTCGCTCTCGCTCTCTCTCTCTCTCTCTCCATCTATTCTCCAAGGGCGGAGTTTCTTTTTTTCCTCTCCTGCTGTTTATCTATCTGTCTCTATCCGCCTGTTCTTTGTCACACTCCGCTCCCTCTCTAGGAGTTGTCCGGGGCGGGGCGCGGGGGCGAGCAGGGGGCGGACGGGGAGCTACACGCCAGCCGGAATGTACTTCCCTTTCAATCATTGCTCCTTTCGCTGGCAAGTTGTTCTGAAAGAAGTTACGAGAGAGGTGGGCTGGGCAGCGGGCAGGACTGGGGCTGGACGGGCAAAACAAGGAGAGGGGTTGGGAGTTGGGGAAAGAGAGGGGGGCTCGCTAAGCGACCGGCCCGGCCCGGGGGGCCCAGGGGGACGGCCTGGGGGCCGGCCCGGCAGCAGAGGGGCTCCACCGGCTCCACGATCCAGTGCAGTGCCGTTAGTTTCGGCAAAGTTTGACTGAAAAGACGGCGGCCGGCGGGAGTCTCAAATTAAACAAGTTGACTTTATTGCACGTGCTCTGTTTTTTTTTCTCTCTCTATCAGATCTCTTCTTCCAGTAAAAGGGTTCACCCCTCATGGGGGACGGAGGGAAACCCGGTTGTGTCAGCTGGACGAACACGAAAACACGTGATGGCGGTGGTTTATGGTCGTGAACCTGATGGTGGTGGTGCACATAGTGACAGTGCAGTGCACATGTGCACATTGACTGGATTTGTATCGTCGATTTGTACGTGGGTAATTAAGTAACTAAGCATTTATTTATTTTTACAAAAACTTCTTGCATTGATTTTAAACACTTCAGTGCATTCATCAATATTTTTTGCGTACATTCCCCAAACGAAACGCAGGTTTAACTTTATCACAAACGTTTGCACAAAAACGTACAGATGCACTTATAGAGTTCAGTGGCATTGGTAGTGTGGTCGTGAAAACGTGGAGTTGAAGTGGTTGGGCCTTATATACTGGAACATACACTCGCGTGTATAATTTTAAGGATGGCGAAGTAAACCGCTGTAACGTTGTTGGTGGAGGAGGTGGTCGCGGTGTGATGGAGCCGCGTAATGCTGTTGGCGGTGGGTCACTTGGGGGGGGGGGGGCGTTGTTCGCCCGCGGGGGGATAGCCGAGCTCCCCGCCATGTGAAGCGACGCCGCTCGCCCCTTCCCCGACGATGAAGCATTATTGGTGCGGTAGTAGTCTTGCCCCGCCGCGCCCCGCCGCGCCCCCTACTAACACCGCCGCAGCCCGGCGCAGCCCTCCAGGGGCCGTGCTCTCCCCCCTCCCTGGCATTGCCAAGTCCCGGCCCCCCTCCTCCCCTTTCACGCGCTGACGCCCCCCCCCTTCCCCTCCTCTCTCTCAGGCGGAGCTGGACGCCGCTGCTCGCACAGAGGGCGGCGGCGCGGTGAGTCTGAGGTTTGCAGTGAGGGGCGGTGGGGGCGGAGGGACAGGGGCCGAGGTATTGTGGGATCCCCGGGCCTGATGACTCCCCCACCGGCCACTCCCCCGCTCCGCCCCCGCCGCTCGAGGGCACGGTGCCGTCAGCCAACCTAACCTAAAAACTAAACGGGTATCAGAACCCGGCGGCCGCGGGTAAGAGGGGGGCGTTGCTGGAGCGCTGCCAGACAACATAATGTGGGAAAGAAAAAAAATATAAGCATGCCGCTGTGCCCAGGCCTGCTGTGGGCTGTTTTAGAACCCCCTCCCCTCTTCCCACTTTTCTATTATTCTCTTCTTCGCCCCCCCCCCTCATTTTCCGTCTCTCTCCTCCAATTAAATAGCGAACGTGACTACGTGACTTGTCAAACTGAATAGCTCGACGCGAGAGACAAGGATGGAGATAATGAACGGACAGAGGGCATTGGCGCGGGACGGCGGCGCGGCAGACCGAGGCCTCTGCGTCCGGCGGAGGACGAGGACGACGCTGAGGACGAGGACGACGCTGAGGACGAGGACCAGGACGGGGCTGAGATCATGCTGAGGAGGAGGACAGAGATTGCGGCTGAGGGCGCGATTGTGGGCCCTATGGACGGGCTGAGGAGAACGGGGATGAGGACGGTGGTGGCTGTTGGCTGCAGCAAAGTCAGAGTGAATGACGAGATAACGAAGGCGAAAAAAGAAGGAAATCGAAAGATTATTTTTTCTCCCAAAAATATAGGAGGCCCGAAGAAAAGGCACGGGCACCTGGAGGAAGGTAGATGAGGGAGAGGAAGTCGGGGTAAGGGTGACGAGTGAGTCCAGGGGATAATGCAGTGACGCCGACGCATTTCTGACCAAGGCTGAATCACAAGGCGAATATTTCGCAGCGAATCGAC